GACCTTTATCACAATATGCTAATTTTTTGAGAAGGACCTGTATATAAAGGAACATTTAAATAGCTTAGGCAGGTACAGTCTCATTACCATAGCACAACATATTGTAGACGTTTTGTATTTAGATGTTGAACAAGATTACATTCGATTTTTAGGATGTATGAAATAAAGTGGCCAAAAACATTAAGGTTTTACAAAAATGTGCACATGCTGATCAGAAAAGACACGGAAATAGAAAGTACTTGTATCAATGAACTTTAAATTCTTTGTTCATCTGGTAGTGAACAAAATGCAGATCGAAGAAAATTTCCAACCATAAAGGAATTAAAAAAAAACTGATTAGCTAGAAACTTTTCAAAGCTTTTTAGTTTTTTTTTTGCTTTAGGCTAATTGGTAACCAGCTTGTCCCTAGGTGAGAGTGTGACCTGTCTGTCCCCCGTCTCTCAGTGACCCCCGCAATCCAGAAAAGAACAAGCAGGTAAAAACAATGGATGGAGAACTAAATGCATTAAAAAAAATGTATGGACTACTTACATTTAGCTTTAATTAAAAAATAAAATAAAAATAAAATCCACATTTATAAAAATATATATTTTTTAGTTTTAACATTTGGTAAGAAACCATAAAACTACCAGAAATAATTGTTTTTCTAATGAAAAACTAAGATTTCAACATAATAAATTATAGTTTCTGCTCCAAGTGAACATTTGAGGTGTTTTCTGCACAACTCGCATGGATTTCCTGCTGAATCATATCTTAAATCAAACAAATGGTGCACACACTAACAAGGCCAGATGTATAAAACTGTGCACACACAAATCCAAGCACAATTCCTTTATATGCACCAATAAATGTAGAACTGAGCGCACGGGCCACCTCCCTTGTCACGGCTCCATATAAATGTGCAAATAGATGTAAAGATGTCCTGCACGTGTAATCCTTGTCTCTGAACGATCAAAAATCTTGACTACATGTGTGAAGAAGAAGTTTATTATCATCATAATCTTCATCATCACCTTTATTAAAGACACAAATAGGTCCATATAAAAACAAAATGCAAATAGATAATATAAAAATATCTTTAAAAAAATTAAAAATCACAAATGTAAGTCACATAATGTCACATAGTTTACATAATGTGAGATGAAGATGCTCTTTAATAGAGTGGAGGCTCGTAAAAACATTGTGTCTGACACGCTGCCCTCTGGCATTAGTGCTGAGCACAAGAGGAGTGACAGTGTGTGAAGCTATCATTGTTGTGGCCAGAGTAGCACACATCGGTAGAAGTTAAGAAAAAAAAGTGGATTAGTTACACATTTTGTGCAGAATTTGACCCTCTTCTGTTAATGTTAGACACCACTCACATGGATTACTCGCAGAATGATTGTAAATAAATGCACAAGCATGCTGAGGGAATGGATGAGGCTGAGGCATTTCAAACTTTATGCATGTGCTCAACATAACTGTAAATACAGAGGCTAATAAAGGCTTGGTACCACACTTAGAAACTGTAGTTTAATTATCAACAAACAGGAAGTCACTCACTTCAACTACTAGACTTTTTCATAAAAATGGCCATACTGACCAGTCCGTGTTTCTCTTTCCTCTGGCCGTTCATAAATGGTAAATGGACTGTACCTTTCTACCTTATCAAGATACTCAAAGCGCTTTACACTACAATATGTGCCTCATTTCCCCATTCATACAGCACTCTACTAGATCTCTACAAAGCTAATTGAACAAATTATTCTAAAGAGACTAATCAGAGCTTTTAGATCACATTCATACACTGATGGGACACACATCAGAGGCTATGAGGGTTTTCAGTATCTTGCCCAGGGACACTTGGGCATGTGACTGCTGGTGGAATTGAACCCCCAACTATGAAGCCGGCCACGTCCCGCACAGAAGTCAGCTTACGGAAATGAAGCGGGCCGAGCAAAACCAAACAAGGCGTGGAGCAGAACTGAGGTGTGTTGTGTTGAAGCGAGATACATTAATGTGTACCGGAGGTCTCCCATGTGGCATTTAGAAAACACAATGAATTAACTCACTTTAATGATCCTCTTTGTGGTTAACTATTTTTTAAACTAACTACAAAGTTGCTGCGAGTCATCAACAGTATTCCCTCAGTAATCAATCAGTTTATTGTTCAATCCTGTGAGCATGTGGTCGCCACCACTGTCAACACTTCATCACATTATTGAGCTACGGCACTGCCGCTTATCTTTTCTCATGTCAGCCAGTGCGGCTCTGTTACTACCTCACTTGGCAGCACAGTGGCGCACCAGAGGTGGGCTGTTTGCAACCCCCCTCATCTTCTCTGTCCATTCAGAAGACACGTCAAGAAGGCCAGAACACTTCTCAGTCCCAGACTAAGACGTTTTTTTGAAATGGCCTACTGACTAGTAATGATGTCAGGAAGACCAGATGTGTTTGGTGGAGAAAGGTTTGATGTGCATCAGTGGGTTTAACATTAAGATGATTAAATTAATTTACTCCCCAAGAAGCCCTCATCCCATCAATATACATACCAATTTTAGTCTGTTCCTTTCTTGTTAGTCTGTCATTAGAATAAATGAATTGTGAGTTGAATCAGGCTTACTAGCTGCAGTGTTGGTTAGTTGCATATCTACATTTTTTATGGCTGACATGTGGATAATTTCATTCCACAGCTGGCATGGCTCAGCTCAGGGTTGAGTGGCACAGTCCCCTTCAGTCTGCCAGCTTACTCTGAAATGCAACCTAATGCTAGGAACCCCCATGTGCTCAACAGGTGTATGGATATGAGCAGCACATGGTGAGCAGTGTGGACCAAGACTAGCAATAATTTAAATAACAATACTAATAATTATATAATAAGGTTAATACATAGTTATTAAAGCTATTAGCTGCACTACATTGTGCACGCTTTGATAGTGACTCTTTAATTGCTTACACGTGGATGCATTAATTGACCATTGCGTGTCTCTGATGTGTACAATAATTGATTTTGCATCATTAACAGTCTCACAGCGTACTTGTTAAGTGTCACCAATGGACCAACAACTGTAGAAACGTGTGTATGCAGCCACAAGATTGGTTGTGGAGCTGAACATATTCATCATTGATACATTAAAATAATACAAGTTTTGCATGGTAATAGACATGCATTCTTTGTACACGAGGCCCCAGTCCATTACTGGGAAAAATTGAGCCACTAAACATGAGCCTGGTTCAGAATTCTTGTGTTGAACAGGGTTAAATAACCCAACATGTTGAAGGTTCCTACCACGCTGCTGCACTCCTCATCCACAGTGTTTCAGAGTGGTCCAGGAAGGCAGCTTTACTGCTGCTTTCTGTGCGACTGTGGAGCTTCAGTGACTCTCTGGGAAAATTCAGACTCAGAGGAACCAAGCCCTGCATAAAAACACCATGGAGTACTTTTAACAGGCTGCATTAATGTGTATTTAAATAGATGATTGTGTTCAGGGGTGAAACGATCACCAAAGGTGCCATTAATACAACATTAAATCAACACATGTCCCTCCTGTCCTGTGGGCATGTTGTGTTTACCTGTCTGAGCGGCTCTTCTTCCGGGGTGCTGGCCCCTGACAGCAGCTGGTTGTTGGACTCACACAGAGTGGTCTGTCCGGAGGAAGGCGGAGGAAACAAAGCCAGAGAGCACATCCTCACCACGGCTACACCCTGCTTGTAAACCCTGGAGATACACAGTGGACCCATCCCACAATATCATGTTCAGTTTAAACAATTATGAAAGGCTACATCTCACAGCTTCTCACATTCCAACTTGTCGAGTTAGCTAACTTCAGAGTAGCTACATAGTAATTTAACGAGTCTGTTTTAGCTGCTTTTAAAACAAAACCTTTTTAATGTCGCTGATATTACCTTTTAATGTGTTATCCACAGCCTAGTTTACTATGACGTTCTAACTTTCTAAAAACAACTAAATATCTGCTTGTTGTGGAACTTTCTTATAATTTTAGTTAATCCCGCCGTGTGGACTACGGTAAGCGGAAAGGGTGAAAAAGGCTCGAGTTTTAGCCCGTACCAACCTCGACGTGCTGCCCCCCTCAGGACACAGACCGCCACTGCAGCTAAACTTATTTTACGGCATCAAAAGCTAATAAAATAATGAAGAAAATTTATAACAAAGTACGTTTGTGTGGTTTTATGCGTCCAACATCATTTTAGTATGTCATATTCCTGAGATAAATCAGAAAATTTCGAATGCAAAGCCACACTGTTGTAATGGATGCAAGATGTGGTTTAGCATTGTCTTGTCGAAATATGCAAGGCTTTCCTTACAAAAAGACATCTGGATGAGATATATGTTGTTCAAAAACCTGTATGAACTAGTCTGCATTAATGGTATGTTTCCAGATGTGTAGGCTCCCCATACCATAGGCACTAATGTACCTCCATACCATCAGCGAGTCAGGTTTTTAAACTGTGTGCAGTGTGTGCTAGTAAAAAGGACATGGCATTCATGGTTTACAAAATGAATTTCAACTTTAAATTTGTTTGACCACAGAACAGTTTTCATTTTTGCTTTAGTACATTTAAATAACCTGTATGACTAATCTGGATAAATAAAGGTTGAAGAATGAAAAAATAAGCTTTGGCACACACTAGATGGTGGAGTTTCTGGATAGTGTTCATATATGGCTTTTTCTTTGCATGGTAAAGCTTTAATCAGCATTTGTGGATGGCATGATGAACTCTGTTTACAGACAGTGATTAGTGTTCCTGAGCCCGTACGGTGAAGCCCAGAACAGAATCAGACCTGTTTTTAATGCAAAGGCCCACAAGGGCCCAAAGATCAGTGCATCTAATATTACCTTTCAGTCTTGTTCTTTTAGCTCAGAGATTTCTACCGATTGAAACCATTTGTTGATGTAGAAAATAGGATAGACAAAGTCTTTCCAAATTTCCAATGGGGATACTTTATTATAAAATGGTTCCATTATTTTTAGATGCAGTTTTTCATGGCTTGGTGAAGCTCTGCCCCTCTTTATTCTAACAGATTCAGCCTCTCTAAAATATCTTTTTTTTAACCCAGTCCTCTTACTTGTTATTTTTGCAAAATTCTCCTCCAGCAGTAACTTTATAGTTTTTTGTTGCCCTTGTTCCAACTTTGCTGACCTGTGTTGCTGCAGTTAAAGTTTAAATTGGTCTGTTTTACCTATGACTAACACAACTTCTTAGTTTACATATTTAATATGTTTACTTTGCTTTATTATAAATAAAGTTTCAGTATACGAGAATTTCAAATCTTTCTGTTTTTATTTACATTTTAGACAACATTCCATTTTTTTTGTAGCTGGAGCTGTATGTACTTGTTTGAATGTCAAATTTACTTAAACAAAATTAAATAGAGTATTTGAGATGTTTAAGCAAATATGGCAGAGTTAACATTATTATATTTCTTTGGAGATGAACTTCCCTCCTCATCAAAAAAACTGCTCATGGGATCACCCAGAAGCCAGGGAGGGTTAATGTCTTGCTGAAGGGCACATCAGAACCCATAATGACACAGGAACACCCATTTCTCTCTATTATAAAACTCAGGGCATGTCTGTGTCTGCTGGTGAAAATTCTCAGTCATCCAGGACAAGATAAATTCAAAAAGCGTTCAATACAAAAACAACTGGACTTTATTTGTAACAGAAGACGTTTCGCTCCTCATCTGAGGAGCTTTCTCAATTCAATGAGCAGTGAGTGAGGGGTTCAGGTTATAAGGCTGAGTGAGATAAAACACACACACATATGTAGATTTGACAAGTCACACCTCAACACCTTAACAGTAGGGGTTTCTTAATGTCTTTGTTACTCTAATTCACAGATGAGACCCCTCTGTTCCCATCAAGTGTGAAAACCGGCTGGGAATCAGTCTTAAAGTTGCATGTCTGTGTCTGGTTTGGAGAAGAAGAAGAAATAATCTTCAGTCTTGTTGTGGTTGTTTTGACGCCCCCTGGCGGTCAGCGTCGCACTTCCGTGACGTCAATTCAGCGCTGTGAAGGAGACAGCTCTCCTCTCCTACTCCCCCCCCCCCACCCCCGCTCCCCCCGAACCCCCCCAGCGCGCCTCACGTTGCATGGATGCCCGGTTCTTGATAAGACATCGGTACCCGCCGGGGACCTTCCTTCCCAGGGAGGTGGAAGTCGCGGAGAGCAGGAGACCCGGGAACAACGACACGGCGGCCGAGCCCACCCCTTCTCCTGGCGGCGCGACACGGTCCAGGCAGGAAGGTACGGGGGAATGTCAGGCTGCTCTCTGAATCACGACAAAACGGACGGGCTTTCAGGCGGGACGCTGCCGCTCGGTTCGCCTTCATCTCTCCAAGCTGATGCCGAGGACGAGAAGCGTCCACGAGCTCCGCAAAAAAAAAAAAAAAAAAAAAAAAAAACCCAGGAATAATCATGTGTGCGCGCGCTGCGAGAAAAGCGCAGAAATGTTGGTGCCAAACGGAGCCGCTGCGGCACTTTTCACTCATCTTGCGCGTCGGTTCTGATGCTGCTGAGTGTCATCATCACATCCTCGGTTTATTTAAAGATTGATCGCGCGTGCGTGCATGCGTGAGTGTGTGTAGTCCTTCGCAAAGGCCCACTGGATGTTTGGTGTCGTTTTTTTTTCTTCACGCTCTTATTTCGCTGCAGACGCTGCTGCTGGACCTTATGTGAATCGGGTACATGTGCTTTCCTCTCTCTCTCTCTCTCACACACACACACACACACACACACACACACACTGACTGAGAGAGGTTATGCAATTCTTCATTACACACACGCACGCACACACACGCGCGCGCGCGCACACACACACACACACAGACAACACAACTGGATCCACATGTCCCAGACACACTGATCCTGGGACCAGGAGACAGTAAGTGTCGAGGACTTCATTCATAAAGCCCATCTCCACTGGGTTGTTTGCTTTCCTCATTCATACGCGCGCACGCGCACACCGATACATTAGGCTTCACTATGATTTAGCTTGGACCTGCTTGTGAAAAAAACGAGGTGGTTAAACTGTCTCAGTCCTCAGCTCCGGTCACGACTGCACAGTTTTTGTTGTTTGGCTTCTTTGAATAAATAAAGTTAAACTGACAGCTTTGCCTTCAGCACCGGACAGCTCCACAGGGCTGACCCGGGGTTTGGCGGTGGAGCTGTCCAGTGCTGAAACCTGCCTCCCTGTTGCCACACAGAGCTGTGGAAAGGCTTTAAATCACCACAGATGTCTTTATACTCTGCTGCCAAGTAGCCAGGCTTTACTCTAATCTTCTAAAGTGGTCTTCACGATCAATATTCAATCAGGTTTTTGGAAGTTTTGGAAAGTTTTACTTAGGATTTTGGTTGGGTATTAACTTATTTTGTCTTTGGACCAGCATCCTGTGCAAAATGTGGGTTAAAAAATTGAACAAGTGGAGAACTAAAGACAAAATGTTATGTTTAAAAAAACTATTTGCAGCAGGGCAATAGTACTTAAAAGTAGGTCTAAAAATAAATAAAACTTCAAAAGCTTCAGCTGATTATCTGCTGGATGACAAGTTTTCAGCTGACTGGTGTTTAGGATTCACCTAGTTGATGCTGAAACACTGATGGGTCAAACTGGGTTATTTGGTTAAACCAGAACAAACTGTCTGTGTGACAGGCTGCCAATAACAAAGTGCTTGAGATTTAATTGTTTCTTGCCACTGAAAGACATTCAAAATGGTTTTTTACTCATGTCTATGTTTATGTGTGTCTTGCCTGTTAGCAAAATATGTTATAAACTACAGGACAGATTTTTATTAAACCTTCAGAGAGTAATCATTGAACCCAGTTCTAGATGGCCACCATAGTTAACCTTAACTAGCACAAAATGGCTCCAACTCTATGAAATTACAGTGGAGTTCAAACTTGGTGTGGAAATAACTGAGAGGAGCTTGTTTAAGCCTGAATGGTTTATAGATCAGAGTTAAGTGACTTAATAATCAAATAAAACCAAAAACATCCCTGAAGTGATCTGGTGCTGGAGTGAAAACAAGTGAAAAAGCAGCCAAAGTTCAATGAAAAGATAATTAGAAAGCCCTGAGAACTTCTGTTGTGGACAGGAGAATCTGGTCTACAGGGTTCACCAGTGGATCCTGAAAGTGTGGTCTGGACCCCAATTTGGGCCACAAAACTATAAGATTGGAGTGTTGAGATGATCTCTGGGGAAAACTACTAATAGCAAACAGTATTTCACTATTATACTTACAAACAATAAAACTATATTCATGTTTTGATAAAAGCAGTATACTAAGAGTTTAAGTACTTTGTGTTCTTTATTTATTTCCGTTGTAGTCTGAGAAGGTCTCTGGATCAAATCCTGGCTGGGGGCCTTTCTGGGTTGAGTTTGCACAGTCTCTCTGTGCATGTGTGGATTTTCTCCAAGTACTCCAGTTTCCTCCCACAGACCAAAAACATGCATGTTACACTGATTGGTAACTCTAAATTGTCCCTAGCTGTGAGTGAGAGAGTGAATGGTTGTTTGTCTTTATGTCCCTGTGATGGACTGGAGACCAGTCCAGGGTGCCCCCGCCTCTCACACAGTGAATTCTGGATATGGGCACCAGTGAACCCCGCAACCCAGAAAGGAAAACACAGGTAAAGATAATGGATGGATGGATGGATGGAAAGTTTAGGCCCCTCTCTTATACAGTAGATCACTTTATCAGGTCCAAAGAAAGTCTGACACTTTAGAAGCAAAATATGAAGGAATGAGGGGGTGCAAACTTTTGCATGGCCTCAGAGTGAAGTCACGACAGCACTTGAATGTTTCTAATATATTTATGTTTGTTAATGTTCTCCTGCAGGTTCTCTCCTCACCTCTTCATCCTCCCTAACCTGCTGTGTTGGGGACCCCCCTGATGAGTGGGACCTGCCTTCATGAGCCCCACGCCCCTTCCCCTTCCCTGTCAGGCTTCAGCTCCCCCATCTCAGAACCGCCCTATCGACGACTCGATGGAGACACTCCTGCTTGCACCCCGGAAATGGACCTGACCCCCACGCAGTGTGTCCTCCGTAACGTACTGTCCATAGACCCCAGTGGACAAGGGGGTCCGGGTGGCGGCAGTCCCAGTCCCAGTGATGGACCATCAGCCCACTTTGACAACAGTGTGCTGAAACTTCACGAACATGAGGCCTGCCAGTGTGGCGGCGGGGCCGAGGCGGGCCACAGTCCGGAGGCCGGCGCTGTCAGGAGACCGTCAGAGAATATTAGGCTCCAGTCAGGGAGCGGGGGTTTTTTGGAGGGACTGTTTGGCTGCCTGAAGCCAGTGTGGACCATGATTGGGAAGGCATACTCCACTGAACACAAACACAACCAGGAAGGTACGTCCCACCTCTGCACCGGGTCTGAAATATGTTCAATTTAAAACTTCCTCTCAGTTGAAATAACCCCATTTTCTACAAGATTAGGACATTATATAAAATTGAAATAAAACCAAAATGAAATGACTTGAAACTTTGATAAACTCCATAATTTATTCACAGCAGAAAATAATACAGTTCAGATGTTTAAACTAAAAAAGTGGATCATTGTTTGAAAATAGGGATTTTGAATTTGATGACAGCAACATTAAAAAAAAGAAGTCAGGGGGCAACGAAAAACTGTAAAAGTAAGATGATAAGTGGTTTGAATATGATAGAAGAATTTTGCAAGTGATTAGGGTAATTATTAACAGGCCAGTAAATAGACTGAATATAAATAGCTTTTCATAGCGGCTGAATCTCTTTGAAGTCAAGATGGACAGAGGTTCGCCACTTTATAAAAACTGCATTTATAGACAGACAGGCAGCAGTGCAATAACAGAACAGGTCTGATTCTGTTCTGGACATCCCTGTAAGGCACGGGTGTCCAAAGTGTGGCCTGAGGGCCATTTGCAGCCCTTGGAGCGATTTTGTGCGGACCACAGCTGCAGTTTAAGAGTAGCATCATTTTGGCCAGCAGGCTCAAGAGGTCGATGCAGACTTTCTGCAAATTAGTTGGTAATCTTTTTTTATATAATGTAACAACAAAAATTATGAAAAACAATCTTCTCAAAATGAGCAATATTAAGCAAAATACAAACCTTTGATTATAACCTTTCTATTTTCATGTCATTGTACAAAACAGCAAAAACCTTTACTGATTTCTCCCAGAAATTAGACTTTTAAATAATGATTCATAAAACTTGACTAAATGTTGCAGTTGTTAAAATAATCAAGAGGGAAACTGGACATTTTTAAATGACTATAACATGGTATCATCTACTTACGAGTTGATCAACTTTATCAAACCTTCTATGAATCTGTTGCAGCGACTGACAGCTGGATGATTTTTCATAACTTGGATCAGCCTTTTGGTCCGTCCATGGTTCAAAAGACTGATAACCCCCTTTTTAAAGGACACTTACTCAAATTATGCTTTTGTTGCTGAGAACAAACTAAAACAAACTTTAAAAACACAAGAAAACAAACATAGACCCAACAAATCAATCAGATCCTTTTTAATAAAAAATTATAAGTGTAGTGTTTATGAGGCTTTTAATGTTTTGGATCTACAATAATTTAAAACTCTTTCTCCACCAAAATTAGTCAACTTTTGTGCTTTCTTCTAAATATTGCTAACACTGAGAGTTAAATTCACATTGTTGTGGCCCATGAGTTCTTTCTTCTTGATCATTTTGGCCCACATATTTAAACGTTTGATATCCCCTGCTGTAAGGGCTCAGGAACACATCCACAACTCTTTGTCTGTAAACAGAGTTCATTGTGCTAAAGCTCTATCATGCAGAAAATAATCCACACATGAATACCACGCAGAAACCCTTCCATCTGTGCTGAAGCTCATTTAAAACACTGATTAAAGTGAGAATAACAAAGTGAAAAACTGTTTTGTGAGCAGACAAATTGAAACTTTAATATATTTTTTTGAAACTCTGGATGCTTCAGCCTCCATATTAGGTTAGGTTAGGTTTATTGGTCATGTGCAAAATCAATACAAGGTCAGCAATGCAATGAAATGCTTAGGATGAGAAGAAATGAAGAGCAAAGGGACCATCCAGAGTGGTAACAAGCACTCACTTCACAAGCCTGCCTCTCTAATGGTATAGGGGTGCATTAGGGTTTATGGCATGGACAGCTTACCCATCTGGAAAGGCAACATGAATACAGACCAGTTCATACAGGTTTTAGAACAACATATGCTCCCATCCAGATGTGTTTTTCAGGGAAGGCCTTGGGTATTTTGACTCCTGCAGCTGTTCTCAGTTCCTAAATGTTTACAGACTGTCAATAAAAGAAGAGGGGATCTCTGCAGTGTTAAACATGGCTCTGACATCATGTTTGTGAGATATGTTGCTAACATAAATTTCAAAATTAACCATTTTTTACCTTAAAATTTGTAAAAAATAAATATTAAATTCAGCATTTGAAACGTTTACTGCGTTCCACTGATAACAAAATATGAGTTTCTGAGGCTTGCAAATCATTGCATTGCTTTATCTTTTAAATTAATTTTATACAACGTCACAACTTTTTTGTCAGAATTACGTTTGTATATTAGACCATTCTATTAATCCCATCAAAGTATTTGCTGGTTTTTGTCTAACACTCGGCCACATGACCTCAGGCAGTTTTTCACTGATGGTCTGCTGTTTAAACCTTCAAGAACTCATTTTATCTAAAGCCCTTTGATGATTTTCTCATTAGGTTTTATTTGATGAGCAGCTCTGCCTGTGAGGTGATTGTTGTGATGTAAAATGTGGAGTATTATAGTGGCAGATGATGGACACCACTTGAGAATCGTTATGTATAAAATCCAGATGTCCATCCTGAGTGCTACCTTGCTCTCGTGGCAGCATGCCTGTATTTTTGGCCCAGCTCGACCAACGTCATCGTTTAGAGTTTTCACAGCTGCTCAGATAGGAGAAGGGGAAGGGGGAGGGGGGGGGGGGGGTCATGTGCGTCTGCAGCTGTTCCAAAGAGACCTCGACCCTCCAGTGGACCTCATGAAGAATTGATTTGCGTGTCTTTGCATGCATATTACTCTGCCAGACTTTAGTGACCATCTTCAATCATTTCAGCAATGTCAGTGTGACACATGACAGACAGATCTGAGTAGATTGTTGTTTATTTATTATTTGTTTACTTTCTCTGGATATACACCACCTTGAAAAAGCATTCATACTTGAACTTCTCCACATTTTGTCACATTACAACAACAAACTTTAGACTCACACAAAGGAGCATATAATTGTGAAGTGGAAGAAAAATGATACAGAGTTGACAAAATGTGGAAAAGCTGCAAAGCGTGGTGTGCATTTATATCCAGACCCCCCCCCCCC